ATTAAAGAGTTTTTTTAAGTATTATTGACAATAGCATTAAAATATAAACTGCTTAAGAGTGAATCCAACTAAACAAGTGGAAGATCTGTATGCTGAAAATTATAAAACATTGATAAATAAATTAAAGAAAATTAAAAAATAAACAGATGGTGAAATACACAATTTCAAGGAAGGGAGAAGGACAAGGAGGGAAAGGAAGACGAAGCAAGGGAGGAGACAAGGGGGGCGGATTACAAGGAGTTGGTTTATGACAGTGTGAGGGCCGGCTAAGCGATTCCAAACTCTGTGGGGATAGCAATCAAACGGGAATATCACAGGTATGCCAGAACTTAAAGGCATGGGCCAAAACTATTGTCCGCAGGCAGAATTTATTTTTCATTAATTCGAATACTCGATATTATCAGGAGTCAATTTTCCCTAGATTGATCTACAGATTCAGCACAATTCCAATCAAAGTCCCAGCAAATTTTTTTTGTAGAAGTCAGTAAGTTAATTCTAAAATTTATATGGAAAGTAAGGGAATGAGAATAGCCAAAGCAATTTTGCAAAAGAAGACAACATTGGAGAACCTAGACTGTCTGATTTCAAGATTTATTATGAAGCTGCATTGTTTAAGACTGTGGTATTGGCATAAAGATAGACAAATAGATTAATGGAACAGAAAAGAGAGTCCAAAAAAAAAGAAAAGAGAGTCCAGAAATAAACCCTAATATAAGTGGATAATTGATATTTAACAAAAATAAAAAAGGCAAATCAATGGACAAAGTATGGATTTTTCAACAAATGGTACTGGAATATTTGGATATCTAAATGCAAAAGCAAACAAAGAAACATAAAAACAAAACCTTTGACGTACACTTCATACCACACAAAAAAGTAATCCTCAGAATTGATTATAGACCTCGATGTAAAAAGCTAAAACTATAAAGTTTCTAGAGATATTAGAAAAGCCTTTTAACCTTGGTTAGGTAGAGATTTCTTAGCTATGACACCAAAAGCATGGTTCATTAAATACAAATTGGTAACTAGAACTTTATCAAAATTTTAAAGTTCTGCTTTTTGAAAGACACTCTAAAGAAAATGAAAACAAATCTACATACTGTGAGAATATTTACAAAACACATATCTGATAAAAGACTGATATTGAATTTATAAAGAATTCTCAAAATTCAATAATAAGAAATGAACGAACTCCATAAAATGCCCATGAAAATGCACAAAACATTTGAACAGACACTTCACTAAAGTGTTATGATTAGCAAATAAGCACATAAAAGTTTTTAACATCAGTAGTAATTAGGGAAATGTAAATTAAAACTGTGATGGGGAACCAATATACACATTTAGGAAAAAAAAGTCACACCACTAAGTGCTGTCAAGGATGCAGATGAACTAGTACTCTCATCCATTGCTGGTGGAATATAAAATGGTACAGCCACTCTGAAAACAGTTTGGCAATTTCTTATAAAGTTAAACATACACTTTAAATATGAAAGAGCAAACCCACTCCTATGTATTTACCCAAGAGAAATGAAAGCTAATCTTCACCCAAACACCTGTATGCAAATGGCTATAGCAGCTTTATGTATTTTTGCCCCAAACCAGAAACAACTCAAATCTCCTTCAACTGATGAATACACGAGCAAATTGCAGTACATCTAAGTATTGGTATACTACTTGGCAATAAAAAATCTGCTAATACACACAACAACATCATTGAATCTCTAGTACATTTTGCTGAGACTCAAAAGACTTCTTAATATATGATTCTGCTTATATCACTGTTGTTTGTGTCCCCCATCCCCAAATTCACATGTTGAGGCCTTAATCCTAAATGAGATGGTAGTTGGAGGTGGGGCCTTTGGGAGGAAATCAGGTTTAGATTAAGGTCATAAAGGTGGGGCTTCCATGATGAGATTAGTGTCCTCATAAGAAGAGAGACCAGAATTCTCTATCTTCCTCTTTTATGTGAGGACACAGTGAGAAGGCAGAAGGACACAGTGAGAAACCAGAAAGCGGGCTCCCACAAGGAACCAAATCTGCCGGAACCTTGATTTTGGACTTTCCTGGCTTCAAATATGAGAAATAAATGTCTGCTAAATGAAACTACATCAAACTAAAAAGCTTCTGAACAGCAAAAGAAACCATCAACAAAAGGTAAACAACCAAATGGGAGAAGATACTTTCAAATGATACCTCCAATAAGGGACTAAAATTCAAAACATGAAAGGAACTCATACAACTCAACAGTAAAAACAAACAATTCAATTATAAAACGTGGCAGAAGAACTGAACAGACACTTTTCCAAGGAAGACATACAGATAACTAACAGATATATAAAAAGATGCTCAACCTTACTAGCTATAAGAGGAATATAAATCAAAACCACAATGAGATACTACCTCCTACCTGTTAGAATGGCTATCATCAACAAGACAAGAAATAAGTGTTGGAGAGGTTGTGAAGAAAAAGAAAGCCTCATACACTGCTGGTGGGAATGTAAATTGGTACAGCCACTACAGAAAACAGTATGGAGGTTCCTCAGAAAATTAAGAATAGAATTACCATATAACCCAGCAACCTTCTTCTGGCATCTGTCCGAAAACTTTGAAAACATTTATTCATAAAGATATATGTACCCTATGTTCATCGCAGCATTATTCATAGTGGCCAAGACACGGAAACAACCAAACTGTCTTTCCATAGATGATTGCATAAAGAAGATTTGAGATATATTTATATAATGGAATACTACTCAGTCATAAGAAAAGATGAAATATTGCCTTTACAACAGCATGGATGGATCTTGAGAGTGTCATGCTAAACCAAATAAGTCAGATGGAAAAAATCAGGAACCATATGGTCCCACTCATATGTGGGATATAAAACTCAAACAACAAATGAACAAATAAGACAAATAAATATCAAAAACTCATGGACACAGACAACAGTATAGTAGTTATCAGAGGGAAAGGGGGATCGGAGGGAGAAAGAGGAGGGTAAAGGGGGTAAAATATGCGGTGACGAAAGGAGACCTGATTTTAAGTGGTGAATACACAACTCAATATACAGATGATGTATTATACAATGGTACACTTGAAACCTATATAATTTTATTAACCATGTGACCCCTATTAAGTTAATAAAATTTATTTAAAAAAAAAGAATACGAGGCCTTGACAGGGTATCAGGTTGGAGCAGTTTTCTACTAAGGAGCAGGAAAGTATATTTTTGTGGGAGATGAATCTGTTCTCTCCTTCATTATGGTGGTTGTTACATCACTACATGTGTTTTTCAAAACTTATAAAACTGTACAATAAAACGGGTGAGGTTTACTATGTGTAAATTATATCTCACTTGTAGTCCGCGCTCATAATGCGCAGGCACAGGTGTGAAGGTGGGGCGCCCAGGAGCAGAGCCCCATGGGGATTGTGGTTTCTTTTGAATTACACTTAACTGTACGAAGGGTGTCAGTAGTCAGATGGTGCTGTTAGGAGACTTCTCATTTCTGACAGTAAGGGTGCTTGCAGTGAATGCCTGTGGGACAAGGAACCTTGGTTTGGAACTGTGTGTTTCGTCCTTTTTTCAACTGTAGATCTGAGATGGTTGAATTAGCCCCCAAGTGGAGAGTGGGCGAAGGACAAGCCACATGATCTGTTGGCAAACAGGACTATAGCCCATAGTATCTGCAGTTTCTCATTATGTTTATTGTCTTTCTGCCCCTTGTAGAATGTAAGCTCCACAGGCCAGGTTTATTTAGGAATCAATTAACCTGACTCCTAAAAATGTTATGTATGACAGCAACATGCAAGTCAATGCATGAAAAAAATGAGAATAAACTGGTTTAGATGTCAATGGGCAAAGAAAAAGATCTAGTCTAAATAACTAGAAATGATAAAAGTAAATAAAAGTAGAAAAGCTAGTTTTTAATGTGAAGCCATGCAAGAGGAAAAGACCAGAGGCTTTCTGTGGTCTACAAATTCAATGTATACATGTACTGAGTACAGAGTACAAAAGGCATAATATTCTATGTTTGCTGCCATAATAGCTAAAAGTTTAAAGCAGCATTAGGCAGACTTCGTTAGAAATATAGTGCTCTCTATACTGTTGCTTAGTTCTTGGCGTACATAAAAAAAAATTAAAAGTAGTGTAATAAAATTTTTAAAAATTTAAATATAGAACTAATACAAAGTATTATGGAAACCCAGGAATATATAGAGTAATACACCATTATCTAAACATCTTTTAAATCTGAAATACATTATTTTACTACTATAGAGTAGTACCCCCTTCTCCATGGGTGTTATGTCCCAAGACTCTCCCCCCATGAATGCCTAAAATCGTAGATAGTACCGAATCCTATATACACTATTTTTTCCTGTACATACAAACCTATGATAAAGTTTAATTTATAAATTAAGCACAATAAGAATTACAACAACTAATCATAAAACAACAATTACAACAGTATACACCTACTCCCAGTGCAGTTGAAAATCCACATGTAACTTTTGACTTTTTCAAAACAGTATTTTTGATCCACAGCTGGAAAACCGCTTATACATTTCTTCTTGCTTGCATAGCGATACAATGTGAAGACACTGTTTTTGTTCCACAGCTGCTTGAATCGGAGGATTTGAAACTTCAGATACTATGGGCCATAGTCCTGTTTGCCAACAGATCATGTGGCTTGTCCTTCGCCCACTCTCCACTTGGGGGCTAATTCAACCATCTCAGATCTACAGTTGAAAAAAGGACGAAACACAGTTCCAAACCAAGGTTCCTTGTCCCACAGGCATTCACTGAAAGCACCCTTGCTGTCAGAAATGAGAAGTCTCCTAACGGCACCATCTGACTACTGACACTCTTAATACAATTAGTATAATTCAGAAGAAACCACAATCCCGGTAGGGCTCTGCTCCCGCCTTCACATCTGCGCCTGCGCATTCTGAGCGCGGACTACAAGTCCCAGGATGCACCGTGCTGCCGCCCTCGCAGCCCTACTTCCTGCCGTGGCGTTTCCTGGGTATCAGTGGCTCCGCGACTCTTGGGAAAGTTTAAGGTGGGCGGGGTTTGCGTGCCGGCTTATTTTTTTTCTGTCACAAAAAAGCAACAGGTCCGCGGAAAATATATGGCTGCTTAGTGTTTTGGTGTACACAAAGTTTGCTTTTCTGAACCGGGAGAGAAGTCATTGGGCCTCGCTTCAGGCAGGCCCAGCACCAGTGGTTCATGGCTTGTCCTTGAAGTTGTCAGACATCCCTCCCAGGGTGTGAGATAGGTTGACATTCTGGGTTTTATTTTATTGGAGTGGTGTTTTTTTTTCTCTTTCATTTTTTCCCCACAGGTTCTTAGTGGGTAATTAGAAGACTGCAGAGGAGGCTGCAAGTCAGTTTTACCCTGGATACTCGTGTGATTCCTTGAACGATTGTCCTTACCGTTTTCTACTTTGTTTTAGTTGGGCCTGGGATCCCAGTTTTATGATCTTTCAACTCGTAATTGTTCATGTGTTCTCAGGACACAACACTGGAGGAATGCCTATATTAAAGGGGATATGAGAAGTTGCCTAATTCACTGTTTGACTGACACCCTTACTATACATAATATGACAACCTTGTATATGTAATTCATGGGGAAACTACAATCCCCACCTCATACCCCACCAAAAACAAACCGTTCCATTTCAGGAGTGAGGGAAATGTCAGAGTATATTGGGTTGAAGAGTCAAAGTGGATGGGAGGTTCAGCAATTTGGGGTAACCGTAAATTACTTTTTCAAAAAATGTATTATTGTTGAGAACGGTGGAATGGTGGCTTGAGACAGTTCTGCTATTTATTCTCTTTAATCGCATACAGGTTAGTTTACCTAGATTAGTGTTTGATTAAATAATTGGGTACTATAGCCTAGCCAAGTTGACACATAAAACTGACCATCACATCTTAGAAAGTCTTTGCTCAAATATTATGTTTTCATAGCATTAAAATAGCAATCCTCCACACACATAGCCTTACAGTCCCATCTACCTTCTCTTATTTTTCCTGTAGCATTTAACAGAAAGCATCATTCTGTTTCTTATTATGTTTATTGTCTTTCTGCCCCTTGTAGAATGTAAGCTCCACAGGCCAGAGATTTTGTCTGTCATTTATCGATGTATCCACAGCACCTAGAACAGTAAGTAACACAGAGTAGGCTCTCAATAATTCTTTGCGAATGATTGAATGAAGTATTAAGGTGGCACCCAGTGAATACTTGTTGAATGGGTGGAGGGCTTCTTCTGGAGATATTACTAGCCTTAGTAGGAGATAGGTAGGAGAAGGGTATAAGGATAGCAGATTTTAGGGGAGGAATTTCAGAGTTCGATAATCTATGAGGTGGAAGAAGTTGTGAAGAAGCAACATAAACAGATTTGCGTGTGCATTCCCTTTACCTCCTTAGCTATGTGACTTTGGACAGGTTATCTACTATCACCTAAGTCTAAGCGTTCCGAGTAGCATGTTGAACTCTTGTGCCGTCCTGCTCTGTTCTGCTGGGATGTGACTCATCTCATTGTCCAGCGTCTCCAGGCTGTGGATGTTGCCAGCCCATTAGTCACTGAGTAGCTGTCTAGTCAGTTTATCAGATCAACTGCCCTGGTATCTCACAGCTTGTGTTCAGGCCACCCTTATTTTACTTAATAATGGTCCCCAAACATAAGAGAAGTGATGCTGGCCATTCAGGTATGCCAAAGAGAAACTGTAGAGTGCTTCCTCGACGTGAGAAGGTGAAAGTTCTTGACTTAATAAGGCATTGTATCATCTCACATCATTAGAAGAAGAAGAATGAGTACAGGACAATAAGATATCTTGAGAGAGAGAGAGACTACATTCATATGACTTTTAGTATATTGTTCTATGTTAATCTTATTGTGCCTAATATATAAATTAAACTTTTTTTTGGAAGAAAAATAATTATATAGGGTATAGTACTATCCTTGGGTTCAGGCATCACTAGGGTTCTTGGAACGTATACCCTGCAGATAAGCGGGGGATTACTGTACACAAGTTTGGGCTCTACAGAGAGTCAGGGACATAGCTCACTCTAGGTCAGGGTCCTTCAATTTTGTTTCAAAAGAAAATGAAAATTTTTTAGCATATTCAGCTCAGAAAATAGATCACTTGATACCAAACCCTTCAGTTTGGCCCAAGCTGCCATTTTCAAGTGCAAGGCTAGTTGGTTCTAGGTCAGAAGCCCCATTCATTTGCATCCTACTGACACATGAGAGAAAATGTACACTCTTTGCTGCCGATGTTCTGCTCACCTGTATTCTTTTGTTTTCTGCGATTCTTGCTTTGGACAAGAGAGATGTTAGATTTCAAAAGCTTTATAAATACCCTGACTCAACTCCACCATAATTATTACCACATACACATGGCAGGCATTTTTTTTTTTTTAAAGATCCAAAGGAGTATACACTCAAATTGACACTTATACATGTCTTCTTGCTTGCATATCGATAGAAGCGGAATTTCTAGTTTGGGTCCCCTCTGAAAAACAATAATTTTTCTGAAATGTGCGTTATGTGTATATCAGAAAAATACTAATTTTTAAAAAGATAGCGTGGACCTGGTTATTACATGACATCATATCTGATTTTAACTTCTTGTGCAGAAACATTTATAATCACAAAGCAAAGTAGATTTCATGTTGAAGAAAGATGAAGGCCGGATATTTGAGGTTTTTCTTCTGGTCTTTCTGCTTCCTGTAGTATCTGACTATAGCTAGTTGTAATGTTTCATGTTTATTTAAGGTGTGGGCAGATTGTGAAAAAAATAGACACTTGCTTCTTGATTTCTGCTTTGCTCTGTTGTTTTGAGAAATAAATAGAAGGGAGAGCTATGTTTAGGAATGATAGATTCTTTCAGCAGTTCTTTTTTTCACCCAAGGCCATTTCTTTAACCTAGAGAGGACTGTGGAATTTGGAGTAACATTTTGTGTGTGTGCGTCTGTCATTCAATTCAAGATGGCTGAACTGTAGTGGAGAACAGTGGTCACCATGACCTCCCTTCAAGATTAAAAGATAATTTGTCTAAATATTAGGGATGGGTCATAAAAAGATCATGTTCTGTGCTCTGTTTCCCAAGTGGAAAAAATACTGATATAAACTAAATTATTCCTTGCTTTCCTGTGTATTTTGTTTTAGACATGTTCATAATAAAGAAAGCATTACTTTCAAATTTATTATTTTCAAATTAAGGGTAATCGATGTCAGTTTAATTCAGTGTCAAATCGAGACTAATTGATGACCTGTCCAAAGTTTTAGAATATCTTGCTAAATCTCTTAATAGGAATAGCCTAAGATAAAATTGAGTAAGAATGCACACTTGACTTTGTTTTGTTTTAGGGATGGGATATCTAAATCTATATCCTTTCTGATAATTAAAGCATCTGGCAGAGATAGAAACCTTACCCTTTGTTATTAACCTTATTTCACAGTCTCAGACCTTTTACTGCACCAACCCCAGGGGGTGCCATTTACTTCAAATTGTGATTTTTTTCAAGGATGAAGAGGGAGACCTTGACCATCTATTTCCATCTCTTTCTTAAAACATGGAAAGGAGGATAATTGCGATTCTATTTATACATTGCTCTTTTTATACCTGAGATGACAGTTGTGGTCACTTTTTGAGTAAAATTGGGATTGAGTTCCTAAGATTTGTGCCACTTTCTAGGGACAGTCTGGCTATGAGTTCTGGTTCTCATCCAGTTCACTATCTCAGCCTTCGTGGAGGAACCCTTTGCTTTATCATGCCAGATTCTTAACCAGACATCTTTTTCTCCAACTCTTGCCTCTTTCCTGTGTGGTTTCCCTTATCTTTCCAAATCATGTGGAGCCCCAGTTTTCATTTCTTGGACCTCTTTTCCATCAGATTCTACAAGGAAATTAAATTTTTACTCTTTAGCATACAGAACAATTTAGCTTTACGCACCCATCTCAGCTATGGATATACCTTTGCATATCCAAAGTTGTATTAATGTGTCCTGCTATGTAAGGGTCTTCCACCCCTTAGCATTGACAGAGGGTTTGAAATGTTGCAGGTTTTGAAACTTCTCTAGCATCCATTTTAAGTGAATGTGAGCCTTATTTTCTAACGGATATGAATTATGCCATGCTCCCTTAAAAAGAAGAAGCAGTTAAGACATTTTTTATTTAAAATATTTTTTACCCCACTATGCCTATTATCCTCTTCATTATTTAACTTAATAACTAAATACTGCACATCTATTAGGTGCCAGGCACGGAAAATATGTATAGGAATACAACAGTGAACAAGACACAAGAAAAGTTCTTTTCCTCATGAAGTTTACATTCTAATGAGAGACAGTAAACAAATGGATAAATTATATAAAGATGGGTAATGTTAAGTGCTAGGGAGGAAAGTAATGTCAGGTAAATGGCTAGAAAATGATGGTACTATTTAGATTGATTGGACAGGAGAGAGACTGTGAGCAGGTACCAGAATCAAGTGAGGAAGTGAGCCACCCAAGGATCTTGGGGGAGAACATTCCAAGGAAGAACATAGCAAGTCCAAAGGCCCTGAGGCTGGAGTGGGCAGAGTGGCTGGTGCACATGAGAGGTGGCAAGAGTGAAGGGTGAAGACATTGCAGAGGAAACCAAGGGCCAGATTATGTGCAGTCTTGTAGGCTAAGGAAGGACTTTGGATTTTAAGTGCGATGGGAAGTCATTGGGGCTTGCACAAGAGTATGCACAAGAGTAACAAGATCTGGCTTATATTTTATTTTTGTTGTTGTTGAGGTATATTTTATATATCGTAAAATTTAAAATGTACAATTCAGTGATTTTCATATATTCACACGATTGTGCAGCCTTCACCACAATTAATTCTAGTACATTTCATTACCCCCAAAAGAAACCTCTTAGGAGTACCCATTAGCATTCACTCCCCATTCCCTTCCCCCAAGTCCTGAATCCCCTAATTTATTTCTGGTCTTTATGGATTTATAAATTCTGGACATTTCATATAAATAGAATCATACAATATTTGGCCTTTTGTTTCTGGCTTCTTTCACTTAGCATAATATTTTTAAGGTTCATTCATGTTTAGCATGTGTCAGTACATCGTTCCTTTTTATAGCTGAATAATATTCTTTTTCTTTTTTTGAGGACTTACAGAGCCTTTTATTGAGGCATAATTGACATATAACTATGAAACCTAAATTCTGTATAAATACATTGTAAAATGAAGTCTCTTAATTGCTTTCTTGACAGAATATAGTTATTTAGTTTGAATGATATTCTATTATGTGGATATAACATATTTTGTTTATCCATTCCTCTGTTGATGGATATTTGGGTTGTTTCTACTTTTGAGCTATTATGAATATAGCTGCTATGTGTATAAGTTTTTGTGTGGATATATGTTTTCATTTCTCCTGGGTGGATAAGTAGTAGCTAGGGGTAAAATTGCTAGAATATGTGGTAAAGCCATGCTTAACCTTTTGAGGAACTGCCAGATTGTTTTTCATAGCAACTGTACCAGCAATGGATGAGGGTTCTAATTTCTCTATATTCTCACCAACACTTATTATTTTTTTGTCTTTTGATTATAGCCATCTAGGAGTTCGTGTTAAGTGCTATCTCATTGTGATTTTGATTTGCATTTCCCTAATAGCTAATGAAGTTGAGCATCTTTTTATATGCTTATTGGTCATTTGTATATCTTCTTTGCAGAAATGTCTATTCCAATGCTTTGCCCATTTTTAAATTGGATTATGTCTTTTCATTATTGAATTGTAAGAGTTTTTTACATACTCTCAATACTAAACCCTTATCAGATATGTGATCTGCAGATTTTTTCCTTCCATTCTGTAGGTTGTCTGTCTTATCACTGCCTTGATAATATTTATGACGCACAAAAGGTTTTAATTTTGATTAAGTACAATTTATTTTTTCTTTGATTGCTTGTGCTTTTGGTATCCCAGCTAAGAAGCCATTGCCTAACCTAAGAATGTGAAGATTTACATCTATGTTTCCTTCTAAGAGTTTTATAGTTTTAGCTCTAATATTTGGATCTTTGATCCATTTTGATTACTTTTTATTAATCACATGAGGTAGGGTCCAAATACATTCTTTTGCATGTGGATATCCAGATGTTTCAGTACCATTTGTTAAAAAGATTATTTCCCCTATTGAATTATCTTAGCACTATTGTTGAAAAACCGAATGAATATTGATATGTTGGGTTATTACTAGATTCTTATTCTGTTCTGTTAAGCTATATGTTTATCCTCCTGTCTGAGAAAACTCAAGCTTTGTAGTATGTTTTGAAATTGGGAAGTCCGAGTCTTCCAACTTTGATCTTTTTCAAAAGTGTTTTAGATATTTAGAATCTCTTGAAATTCCGTATGACTTTTAGGAACACGTCATCAATTTCTGCAAAAAAAGCCAACTAGAATTACTTATGTTTTAAAAGTAACACTATAGCCATAGTGTTACAATATGTGGAGAACATATCATAGAGAAACCAGTTAAGAGACTATTATAGTAGTCCAGGTGAAGGATGATGTTGGCTTGGAACAGGGTATTAGCTAGCTATAGAATTTGAGGTGGTTGGATTTTGAAGATATGACTCCCTGGGTTTGAAGATGGATTGTATATTGGGTATGAGCAAAAGAGAGAAACTAAGGGTGGTTATTGCCATTTACTGAGATGGAGCCTGAGGAAAGAGAGAAGAGTAGGGGGGTAAAAATCAAAATTTGCTTTTGCACATGCTAAGCTTAAAATGCCTATCAGAAATCTTTATGGAAATATCAAATAAAAAAATATATGTGTAAGGCTGGAAAATTTCAGAGCTGAAATATAAATGAGTATACAGATGGTATTCAATGTCTTGGGACAGAATGAAATGAATGAAGGAAGGAGTATAAACAGAGAAGAGTCCTGAAGACTGATTGTGGAATACTCCAAATTTTAGAGGTTGAAAAAAGGAAGAGGATCCAACAAAAGAGATGCATGTAGCAGCAAAACCAGAAGAGTGTGTGTGGTGTCCTGGATGTGAAAGAAAAAAAAGTGTTTCAAGATGGAAGGAGTGATAAACTGTGTCACAAACTCTGGGGGTGAGTAAAATGACTGAGAATTGTGCATTGGAAGTAATCGAAGAACATGAATGGGGACCAAAGATTGGAGTGGGTTTGAGAAAGTATAGGAAAGAATGAACTGGAAATAGAAGACTCTTTCAAGGAGTCTTTCTTTTTTATATCTTTTTATTTTATTCTATCCTCTTTTAAACCTTAATTTGTTTTACTTGTAGACATTTTCATGAACAAAACTAGCAAGAGTAGAGACTTTCACTTCTAGCCAAGATGGAGTAACAGGGACAGTAGATTTCTTATCAAAAACAATGCAAGTGATAAGACGGTGGAGCAACATCTTTAGGGTACCGAAAGACAACTGACTGCCTGGAATTCTGAACCTGGCAAACTATCTTTGAAATATGGAAGTTTGATACCGTTTTTTTTCAGATGTACAAAAGCTGAAAGAATTCATTACCAGTGGACTTACACTACAAAAAATAGTAAGAATAGTCCTTCCACTTGAAGGAAGATGGTAATAGTTAGAAAGGTGGATCTAAGCAAGGAAATGAAGAGCACTAGAGATGCTACATAGGTAAATATATAAGATTTTAAAAAGTATTGTTAAAAGACAATTGACCGTTTAATCAAAAATAATAACTATGTAGTATAGGGTTATAACAAACAAAATTAAACTGTGTGATAGTAATAGTGAAAAGGTTGAAAGAGAAGAAATGGAAGTATGTTATTTTTAGGTTTTTACACTATATCACTTGAAAATAGGCTGTATTAAGAAGTATATTATTAGCCCTAAAGTAACCATGAAACTAACAAAAGAGTTATAGCTAATAAACTAACAAAGCAGATCAAATTAAATAATAAAAAATATTCAATTAAAAGAAGGCAGAAAAAGGAGAAAGGGAAAAAAACTGATGGGACAATTGAAACAAATAGAAAAATGGCAAATTTTGACTAGACCATATTAGTGATCACATTAAATGTAATGGTCTAAATTCAAACAGAAATTTTTCAGAATGGATAAAATAGAATTTGCTTTTGGACATGCTGATGTTGACCCAATTACATGTGGCCTACAAGAATCACACTTCAAATGCAAAGACACAAATAGAGTCACAGTAAAATAATGAAAAATATCTACCATGTTAATATTAAAAAACAGAATGGCTATATTAATATTAGATAAATAGATTTCAGAATAGAATGATAAATCTATAATTTATCGAGAAGACATTCATCAAGACAGAAAAAAGCACTAAGGATATATGTGATTTGAACACTAATCCATAAAATTAGTCTGCTTGACCATCATAGAATATTTAAGCTGCACACGAACACAAACCAACATAGACAATATCCTGGCCCATAAAATAATTCTAGATAAATTTTAAAAGATTTAGTTCATATAAAGTTTGTTCTTCAACTACAATTGAATTAAACTAGAAGTCGATGGAAAGATCACTGGAAAATCCTCAAATATTTGTAATCTAAATAACAGATGGATCAAAATAAAAGAAATGAGAAAGTATTTTGAAAGAAATGAAAATAAAAACATTACAAAAATGCATAGGATAACATGAAAATTGTACTCTTAGGAGAAAACTTTTAGAACTAAATTACTATTAGAAAAGAAGAAAGATCTTAAGTTATCAATTCCATTTTCCATGTTAAGAAACTAGGAAAAGAAGAGCAAATTAAACTCAAAGTAAGTTGAATTTAAAAAATGCATTAGAGCAGAAATCAATAAAATAGAAAACAAAAACAATAGAGGAAATCAGTGAAATGATCAATAAAACATATTGATATATTTTTAGCTAGCCTGAAGAGAAAAAAGATAACATGAATTATTGATATCAGGCACAAGAGTGGTGACATCATTACATTTTCTACTGATCTTAAAAGGATAATAAGAAACATTGTGAACAATTTTATGCAAGTAAGTCCAAAGAGTTAGATGAAATGAACAATTTTTTGAAAGACACAAACTGCAAAAGCGTACTCATGAAGAAATAGTTACCCTAATTGCCTTATATTTACTAAAGAATTTAATTTATAGTTAAAAACCTATCACAAAGAAAACTCCAAGGCCAAATGACTTTACTGGTGAATTTTACCAAACATTTAAGAAATAACTAATACCAATCTACACAAATGCATCCAGAATATTGGAAACGTGGAATTACTTTTCAGGTCTTATAAGGCCAGCATTACCCTGATATTAAAATCAAAGACATTACAAGAAAAGAATACTACAGACCAATATCCCCTGTAAATATAAATGGAAAAATTTTAAATCACATTTGAGCAAATTATATCCAAAAAATAATACATTATGACCAACGGGGGATTATTAGAAAGGCAAGATTGGTTTAAAATTTGAAATTAATTGAGGTAATTTACCATTTTGACAAAATCAAACATTTTTTAAAGTATGATAATCTCAATAGAAAAAGCATTTGGCAAAATCCTACATCCATTATTCATTAAAAACTCTTAGGCAACTAGTAATTGAGGGGACTTTACAAAGAAAATCTATGTCACATCATATTTAATAGTGAAAGACCGCTTTTCCTCTAAGATCAAGAACAAGACAAGGATGTTTGCTTTCATCACTTCTATTCATCATTGTACTGAAGGCTGTAGAAACAAAATTTTCTTTATTTATAAATGACATAACTATATATACGATCTCTGTTGTGACTACTCAACTTTGCCCTTGTAGTGCAAAAACAGCCATAGACAATATATAACGGAATGAGCATGTCTGTGTTCCAGTAAAACTTTACTTAGAAAACAAGCATCAGACCACATTTGGCCCAAGGGTCATAGTTTTCTAACCCCTGGTCTATGTAGAAAATCCCTTGGAATCTGCGAAAAATTTACTAGAACTGATGAGGTTAGAAAGTTGCAGGATACAAGACCAATATACAAAAAAATAATTTTGTTTCTGTATAATAACAATGAATAATCGAAAATAGAAATTTAAAAATAAAAATGCTATTTATGGTAGGATCAAAAATGTAAAATACTTTGGGATAAATCTGACAAAATGTGGAAAACCTACCTGTTCACTGAAAACTATAGACATTACTGAGAGAAATTAAAGACCTAAAAAACATGGAAAAATATACCTATTCGACAGCATATATACACATATATATATATGACTCAATATTGTTAAGATGTTAATCTTCCCAAATTGATCTATAGATTTAACACAATCTGAATTACAATCTCAGTAGGCCTTTTTATAGAAATTGAAAGATTGATTCTAAAGTTCATATGGAAATGAAAAAGCCTAAAACAACCTAAACAACTTTTTTAAAAAAGAGTAAAGTTGGAGACCTAATGCTATCTGATTTCAAGGTTTATTAGAAAGGTACAGTAATCAGAACAGTATAATATTGTTACAGGGGTAGAGAAATAGATCAATAGGAACAGAATTAAGAAACCAGACGTATCTCTACATACATATAGACAATCGATTTTCAACAAAGGTGCCAAGTGAATTTTGGGGAGAAAGGATCGTCTTTTTAGTCAATGATGCTGAAACAACTAGATATCTCTATGCCAAACAAAACCAAACAAAACCAACTATTCCTCACACAATATACAAAAATTAACTCAAAGAGACTTAAATATCAAACCTAAAACTAGAAACCTTCTAGAAGAAAACATAGGAGAAAATATGACATTGAGTTTGGCAAAGATTTTTTAGATATAACATCAAAAGCACTATGCATTAAAAAATATTGATAAATTGGACTTATCAAAATAAAAATTCTGCTTTTTATAAGACACTATTAACAAAATGAAAAGATTGGGAGAAAATCTTCACCAATCATGTCTGATAAAGAATTTATATCTGGGATATAAAAATCTCTCAAACTCAATAATAAGAAAACAATCTGAAAAATGGGCAAAAGATTTGAACAGATGGTTTACCAGAAAAAGTTTGTGGATGGCAAATAAGCACATGAAAAGATACTCAACTTCATTAGTCAGTAGGAAAATGCAAATTAAAGCCACAAGGAGAAACCACAACTATTGGAATGGATAAATATGAAATCTGACTATATATAAAATGTTGATTAGGATGTGGAGGATCTGGAACTTTCATACACTGCTGGCAGGAATGTAAAATCATGCAAACACCCTGGAAAAGAGTTCTGAAGTTTCTTAAAATTTTAAATGTATACCTGCTGTATGATTTAGCCATTCCATTCTAGATATTTAGCAAGGATAAATGAAATCATATGTTTATACAAAGACTTGTACATGAATGTTCATAGCAACTTTATTTTTAATAGCCTCAATCTGGAAATAATCCAAGTGTCCATCAACAGGTGAATGGATAAACAAACCGTGGCATAAATAATACTCAGCAATAAAAAAGAATGAACTATTCATGCATCCTGTGACATTCATGAATCTCAAAATTATGCTGTGTGAAAGAAGCCAGACCAGAAAAACCCAAAAAAACATATTGTATGATTTCATTTATAAAAATTATGGAAAATGCAAATGAATAGATTGTGACAGAAAGCAAATCAGTAGTAGCCTGGGTGGGAGGGAAGGATTTCAATGGGAGCATGGGACAATTTTTGAGTGTGAGAAATGTGTTCATTGTCTTGACTGTGGTGATGGTTTCATGGATATATGGGTATGCCCATTGTACATTATTAAATTGTACATATGCAACGTATGCAGTTTACTGTGTGTCAATTTTAGCTCAGTACATTTTTTGAAAAAAAGTAGCAAGAATAATATATATATTCCCATCCCTCAGCTTTAATAATTTTCAGCATTCTGTCTTTCTCTTTTGAGTTTTGCTATAAAGGGAAGCAGAGAAAGGGGCCCCGTACCTAGAAGGGGATATGGGATCAAGAGAGGATTTTTGTTTTTTTTTTTTAAGATAGGGGATGCTATAGCATGTTTATGCACTGATGAGGGGAGAACACAAATGGATACAAAAAGTAAAAGGAGCTGCCTGAGAGTCCTTGAGTGGGCGGGAAAGGCTGGGCTGG